TTCGGCGAACCTTCCGGCACGCTTGGCGTCTTGGGCTTTCCGGCAGATGGCTTCTTCTTTGTCTTATCCTCAGCATCATCATCTCCAGTGAGGTCGACCTCCATGGGCTTGGCATCACCTGACTTGGTCTTCTCCTCAGTAGCCTGTCCATGGGTCTCATCGGCTGTTTCATCCTGAGACTCCTTGATTGCAGCATCGGGGTTCTCCTCAACCGTCTCTTAGTCTTCCGCTTCCGTCTCGGTTGGCTGATCGACTTCTCCCTGGCCTTCAGGAGCGGCTTCTTCATCGGCCTTCTTCTGCTCCCCTTCGGCCTGTTCGTCGATCTCCATGGGTTCGGGCTTCTCATCATCATCGGCCTCGGAACCCTTCACTGACTTGAAGACCGCCGAATCCGCATCATCGTCGTCCCAGTCGGGTTGTTCGACCTCTGGATTCTCAACGATCACATAGGACTGTTCGGTGCGGACATCGGCAAACGCTTCATCGTCAGCCTTTTCTTCCTCGTTCTTGGGCGGCGGAAGTGGCACCTCAACTGGAGGGATGAACGAGCTGGTACCGGGGTTCTTCTTCTTCTCCTCGAGGGCTCGTTCCCACTCGTCGAAGTCGAGCGTGTCTCCTGCATGCGGGACTTCCCATGGAAACTCTTCCACAAGCTCGAGTCCCCCTTGCGGAGTAGGTAAGTCTGGGTACAGCTCTTTCACGATGATGCGATGCCTTTCATCATGCTCACTTTCATCCAGTTCTTCTGCATCGATGGGCAATCGCAACAGGTCATCGGGGTTGATCTCCTCGGCCAGCGCGTGGCTGGTATCCTTCAACCGCACGACATCTGCCTCTTCTTCTTGCAGCAACCAATTCATTATCTCCTGGTCGACTGCGTCCACTATGTCGGCCGGGTTCAGCTCAATCTCATCCACGGCTCGCCTTCCGGCAAGCAAAAGGTCTGCGGCAGCCCGAACCTCCGAGATGGTAGGGTACCTGAAGAGGAATTCCATCAACTGCAAGTCTCCTTCGCCCTCACCGGCGTTCAAGACAGTCAACGGTTCAATCTCTTCCTTGTACTGCATCACCTGGAAGGTGCGAAAGGCGCAGGTTGCAATGCCGGAGTAGACAGCAACGCCCCATTTGAGGGTCTGGTAGCACTCGATCATGTGGAATTGATCGTGGTAGAACACCTGGGACGTCATCGTGCTCGGATCTACACGTGGGACCCCTCTCGAAATCAGGTATCCGTAGTGCTCCCCGAGATGCCTGTTGTATAGGCTTTCGGCAAGTCGAAGTCTTCGGCTGGAGCATTCCCGACAACGACCAATTCAGCCACATCAGACCGGTCTCGCAGTGCGATGAGCCGTTCAACATTTTCGCGTACAGGAGTAAGCTGCGCGAATGGCCAATCGGCTGCGACCTTCCGGTCCGCCTCTGTCTTCAAAAACCGTTTCTGGTTGATCCACTTACAGCGTAATCCCCGTAGACATCGTTTCCAGCCCAGGGTACCAACCTCTGTGGATCACCATTTTTCTTATTGTGTTCGGCCATTTCCTGCAATTCTTCTTCGATGGCTGGAACAATCCTGTTTAAGCCACGACGCCATTCCATTCTTGATCGAATGCGGGTACACCAGGCCATCGAGTCCTGGTTCAGGAACTGGGCCAAATCCATCCGCGTGATTTCAGGCTCAATCATTGGGCCGATGAACTTTTGGCGAATGACAGCGAAAGGAGCTATCACCGCAAATGAGCAAATCGGCAGAGCCTTCCGGCCCGCTCGACAGCTGTGCAAACAAACATTCCGGCGCCCTCTCCATCAGATCCGCGATTTCACTGAAGGAGCCTTGGGCACTGCCCCCTCCGAGTGTCCCACGGATGGCCACGCCAATTGGCTGGCGGATTGAGGCCAAACGGCGGACTCCGGGTCTTCCCCGAATGCCACTTTGACACAAGCGGCGCGAAGGTCCGTGGAGACCTTCTCCCATGCCGCGATGCGGTCACGCACCGTGGGCATGACCTCGGGCTCCACCTAAGGCAAAGTTCACTGCCATGTGCTTCATAGTGGCAGGGCAAACCAGAGTTGCAACACAACAAGTCGAAGCAGCTTGAGAGCTCTGAAGGCGGCTACAAAATGCGCAGCATGAATAGCGTCTGTCATCATATAGGTATAGGACTGAGTCTCTCTCAAAAACTTTCCTCTCCCTTCAGCGTGTTGCATGTTGCAGCTGCATTGAAACTCGCTCAAAACCTTACCTATTCCTTCATGAGTGGTAGCAACCGTCCAGGGCTTCTTTATGGGAAGATTATCCTTATACCCTTCAGCCCCACAGCGCAGCCGTCGAAGTGGTATGGCGCGAGACATAATTTATCGATCAGCTTCCTGACCTTGGGTAAGCCCCAATAGGTGCATCCCCTCGGCCATTCAATGGCAACGTGCACACCGGGAAGGGCAGACAGAAACTCGACCAGACTTGTCCACAGGACGGCAAACTTTCGACGATGCTGCTTTACCTTCCGGTTTCCGGTTGGGTGGCGTAAGTTGATGTACGTCCACGGAGTGCCCCCCGTGCAGGGTAGGCTCACCCAAACGAGTACCGATTCCACGTTATGGGCCTTGAGGTGATGTTTGACATGGGCGATCACCAGCTTGCGATTGCTGCTACTGTTAAAGTCAAATTCTTCAGTAAACTGCAGCACCCGGCATCCCTCAGCAGCGGGCCTAGTCCTATCACTTAACTTTGAGTTCTGATCACAACATACTTCGACCAGCAGTCTCTGAGCGTCAGGCACGGCGTGCGCTTCCGCCACGCTTGGCTTCGCAGGAGTGGATCGTACCTGCGGTGGCCCCACGGGCAGTCTGTCACGTATCGACAGTAGTCTCAACGCTGTACCCCACTTTTCTGAGTTCGTGAAAGGCTTCGTAAAGATATCAGCTGCTTGAAGGGTTGTGGGGCCGTGAACTAACCGGTACCATTTACGTCTGAACTGCTCCTCAAGCCACGAAAGGTTGACTCTCTGGGTTTTGTCGGTATGCCTAAAAGCTGGGGATTTGCCCGATTCGAGGATTCGGATCGTGGCTTGATTCTAGTGTGGCCTGGTGACTCAAAGGACAACCGTGCTCTAAGTCCATAATTTTTTACAATTCAATTTACCCTTAGGATGTCCTCTGACTCGTCCAAAGGCGCTGGTTCCTCAAGCTTCTTAGTCTTAGCCTTAGCAGCAGACTTGGCAGGCGCCGCTGCCTTTGCCGCCAGCTTCTGCTTGGCCTTTGGTCGCTGCTTTGGCTTGGTCTGGCCCGCAGACACCATGGATCACCAACAGGCGCGGCTGACGAGCTCACCGTTGGCTACGAATTTGTTCAAGCTGGGCCAATTCCGAGGTCAGAGGTGGAATCAAAGGCAGTGGATTTCTAAGCATCAACCTGCTGATGAACGGAGTTTGTGTTCATGTCAATCGTCAATTGAGAACATCGCCAACCAACCCACCAAGGATTTTACAGTGCCACAGTGTCTTCAGTTTATTTAAGGGGATGAGAAATGACAAATTAAGGGAATAAGGAATTAAGGAAATTGCGCGCGCACACACATTTTCACCTGATTGGGGCGGCGGACATTTGAGCGAGTGTGAGAGGGGATGAGAGATGAGAAAAAAAAGGGAATTGTGAAATAAGGAAATGGTACACACTTAGATCCATGCTCGCAAGAGCTATATCAGTTGGTGCACCCCAGTGTTACCGCAAGTAGCCTGCGCGCACAGTTAGACCTTGACTGTTGATTCAACGGAAAGAAATGCTGGGTCGGCTCAACAGAAGGTTTCAACACAGACTCGTTAGCACTTTACGGGAAGATGAAAGTAACAGCTTGGTCAACAGTTCAAGAAAAAGGAAAATTGAACGGTGACAGCTCCGTCCCGGAGTTACATCACACCAGTTTGGGGCAGCGGACATATGAGTGAGTGTGAGAGGGATGGCCGTGCAAGCGGGGATGAGAGAGGACAAATAATGGAATGTGGAAACAAGGAAATTGTACGCGCACACTTTCACCGGTTTGGAGCAGCGGACATATGAGTCAGCGTGAGAGGGCGTGAGAGAGAACCAACAAGGGAATAAGGAATAAGCACATTGCGCACACACTGTCACCTGATTGGGGCAGTGCACACACTTGCGGTAGCGGACATGTGAGTGAGTGTGAGAGGGGACAAATAAGGAAATAAGGCAATAAGGAAATTGCGCACACACTTTCACCTGTTTGGGGCAACGGACACGTCGGCATGTCAGCACGTGGTTTCCCCACATGGTGATTGGCTGTCATCTACGGAATTACAGGCTCCACGACTTGACGCCCATATATCGAGCCACTCACGTTTGAATTCACCTGCCCGAGGGTATTTACCTGGTCTCCCTCAGGCATGATTGCAGCGCAGAAAGGTCTGCGGAAAATCTACTCAACAAGACATTTGGGTCCTATAGTAAGCCAAGGCAACCAGCTGCGCGATTGTAGCGGATGAAAAATGAAAGGAGTTGCCTCCAATGCTGGACGCTCTGTTCTCATCCTGGACCTGACTGATCGGACTGACTGCCCGCAGGGGCAATAAGAAGGCAAATCAACACGAAAAGGAACAATAGTAAAGCGCTTGCAACTAATCCAGCCATGCCACTGGTAGCATGGGCACGCCCATTGCGTGCCAAGTGTTTGGCGTGACCGGGAATCCCAGGGCACATAGGCGATCCCGCGGAGTCATCCATTGCTCCCTCGTGAAGTTGTAGAAGCGTGTGCTGTTGGTCCGGAACGTCGGCAAACATCCCCATGAACCACTCCAAGACAGGCGCCTCCCAGGGTTGTCGCTCAAATTCAAGAAGAGATTTGGGTCCGCTGCAGCATCTCGCGAGCGCCGGCGCTTGTACAGCTGACTGGTAAAGGCAATCGCCGCTTTTTCCCGCCTTAGGCCAACAAATCCGTGATTGCAGCAGCAAGTTTTCTTCAAATAGGTGGACGTCATCAGAGGTATCCAATAGTTTTTCCACTCTTTTATAATTGGAAGTAAGGAAATAAGGAATCACCAGGAATAAGGAAATAAGGTCAATGTCACTTTGGAAGTCAAGCGATGTTTCCAGCTAGTAGAGCTAGGACAGCTTGTGCAAAAATGCAAAAACGTGCACCTAATTTCATGAAGAGGTTCTGGTTCAGCAAATACCTCATCGAGTACGGAGAATCCAGAGCATCCTCTTGGAATCGCTGGCGCCGGATCGGTGAATAGACTTTAAGATCAGTGTTGGATACCTTAGCGCACGGTGGGAATGAGATCGTTCATAGCGTGCAGGTGGGCTATGAATGATAAGAACAGAATAGTTTGCCTTCTAGGTGCGGGCCGTAGAGGCATACCACGTGTCCTGGCAGTTTTGGAAGCCTCCCTGTAGTACTCCGCCGTGGTGGATACCATGTAGTCCTGGCTCATTGAAGTGTGGACCGCCCTTCCACAATACCCGACACACGGACCCAACAAACCTTTTTGTGAAAAGGGCGCGTATTATTGTAAAAACTGTTGACTCAACACTCACAGTCCTTCGGTTCTGTACAGACCCAGCTCATGATGAAGTCTGACACCTTCTTGTACATGTTTTCAGGATTTGCAATCTCCACTACACTCTTCTTCAAAGTCAAAATCAAGTAGACCCTCTCCCTGGCTACACCAGCGTGCCCCTGATGGGCTGGCATCACGCGCAGGCACCGAATCCTGTAGTGCTTGGAATACAAGTACGTGATCATTCCCAAATCCAGGTCCTCGCAACACAAGAGGCCACGCCGGCAGGGGCAGGAGTCGCAAGAAGTCTGAATGTGTTAGAATTGGTGGTAGTCATGGCAATAACCAAATTCAAGAATCTTCTCCAGCCTAATTCCTTATTTCCTTACTTCAGTATTTCCTTGTTTCCTTGTTTCAATCCTGTGAGAGCTGTTGTGGAAAGACCTTCTTATTCTACTTACCAATTTGTGCTTTTGAACATGCTTTAAGCAAATCCCTGTCCGGCGCGTTCTCGATGATCAGCATTGGGGTTTGCCAAGCAGCATGAAACTTGGCATGGCTGCAGAAAAGCATCGCTGTGGGTCCCTCTTTTCCTCTCTCTACACCAGCCCGTGAAAAGTCTGGGCAAGGTAGCCCACTCACATCCAGGTCCACTTCTCTAGCCCTCTTCCCAAAAATTGGACACTGGTGGTCATGCGTAAAGCAATATTGGGTGGTGCGAAGCTTGGCTTGGTTGATCTGGGCTGCCTTGGCTTCGAAACCGCTCTCAGGGTCAAAGCTGTTGCTTGGCATGATTTGAGTGAGGTCGCCATGAACACATGGCTGTGAGTGATCGTTGGTCACTGTCCCACACCAGCGAACATGATCCGCAATGAGCTGTCTGCAGCCCTTGTTGGTCTCCTTACTGGCGCGAGATTGGTATTCCCGTATTCTGCTTATATTGAGCGACCAGTTGTTAGGTACCTAAGGTACGCTACTCTTCTCATGGTGGACACACACACTGACCCCCAGCCGCGGCGGGCGGCAAGTCCAAATTAATATTCCCACCCGGTCATTGAACTTCCTTCAAAAGAAAAGGCACCAAGCAATGACCACTAGATGCATACAAGGATCATGCGCTCTGATGCTCGTAAATTCAACCATGCGGTCCAGTTTTTTGGAGGAATTGATTGTTTTCTGAATGACCGCTTGGCCCATCTCAGCGTGCCCCAGTGCAGGCTGAAGAAGTGGCATGAACTTGCACGAGCATGGACTCCTGCGGGTGGAGCGATCCGAAACGCTCGCCCCTTTGTCTTTGTCGGAGGGTGTTTGGGGTGAAAACAACCATAACGGTGCCCCCAATCACCTGAAACGTATTGAGCTGGGAAACTGGAAATAAGGACATAGGGAAATAATAGGGACTTAGGGAAATAGGGAAATAGGGATTGTGAACGAAAGAGTCTTGAAATAATTCCAAAACCAGCTGGACATGAAGGGCAACAGGTTCACAGCGTCGGTTCATGTCATTGTCGTAAAACGTCGAGACAAGCTACTCAGCTTTTTTAACAACTTAACAACAAATGATCAACTGGACCAACAATAGGTTTTTTATCTTGCACCATTCAAGAAGGGGCTGGCTCAATTCATCGAAAACAGACTAGTCGGGTCAGTCCTGCAAAGTGTTCTTCCCCAATTCTTTAAACAGGATGGCCCAGCAAAGCTGGACACACCGAGCAGCCCTGGTCAAATTGGATTCTGCTGCCAAATCCTGAGCTGAATGTCGGGAACAGCCAGATTTTTGTTTTGACCCTCCCGCCAAGTTCCACCTATCTAAAACCTATCTAACACTTCCCCTTCATACTGGTAACTTGCCACCATAATTCTTCCAACGGGTTGGTGCTGATTGACGACGTCGACGATTTGGTCCATTCAGGCGCTTCAGAATCCGTGAGGCTGACTGTGCTCACATTGTCATCGAAGTCATCAGTGGAAGCCATGGCCAAGCTTTCTTCAAGCTAGGTCAAGGTCAGGTGATAAAAAAAGGGTTCAGTGTTTTGAAAAGTTCAGTGTTGAGTCAACGCTCACGATGATTTTTGGACTTGGCTTCAATTGGTTGACAATTGACCTTCTCTCACACGGTTTCACCGTTTCTGCTGGAATGCCACAGACGGACGTTGAAGCCACAACACTCGTGGATTTAGCTATGTTAGTGGCCATTTCAAATCAACGCACAAGGCACAGATAGAATCCAAACACACGTTATGTCCTTAATTCCTTAATTCTGGAGTATTACTGTGCATAATCCAGTCTGACTGCGGCTATCCAAAAAGATCACCCGCAACTGACCGTCTAGGGTTCCCTGCAATGGGCGGTGCAAAAACGCCGCGGCCTTTCTCTGGAGAGAAAACCCACGTAAGCTCGAGCGGGCGTTTGGCCACAGAGGAGCCATCAGTGTATACCTGCAGCCGGTGTGGGGGAGATCACCGCCGCTTGTAGGTCAATATTCATGGAATTTGGTCAATGGCTTCTGCCCCCCCTGTTCTCTCGAACTCGGACTTTGAAGAAGGAAATTAAGGAATAGCGAGATAAACAAATCTTTTAGGCCGTGGGGTCTTTTTCAAGGATGGCACCAAACGCGCGAGTCCACAGCCAATGCAGGCCAAAGTGCATGGTAAACTCGCACGCCTTTGAAAAAGGCCCGCGCAGTGCACCAGTAGATGAACTCAGCGCAGAACCCGGCGCCAGGTGCTTTGGTTTTCCGGATTTGCTGCCTTCCCCTAACCCACACCCTTCTTTCCACTAAGGCTGGAATAAAGACATAGAGTGGGAATAAGGGTCTATTCCAGGATTGTTTCCCTAATCTCCAAAAGGGCATTGAATTGAGGTATATCATTAAAAAAACACATGAAAACAAAAAATTGCAACATTATTTCTGGAAGATGCGACAATGCTTATTTCCTTAATTCCATTGCCCAGAAATAGGACACCCCCCAATGGAACGCCTGATTTGAAATCCTCTCAACGCGTCACTCACCCAGGAAATGACACCGAGGCACCATGATTGAAGCTGCAATCCCTGAAGGGTTCACATTGGCGCCCACTTTGGTGGTGGCTGATTTGATGAACCTCTCCTCAGGTGTACCAATGCTAATAAGCGCAGACATACTTACTCCCCGTGTCTTTTGTTTCCTACCTTTTTCTCACTCGTTGGGGTTGGCCTACCAGGGAAGCTTGTAGGAAAGACGCAAACTGAGAAACATGAATAGAAATGAGAAAATAGGGAACTAAGGAGATACAGGAATAAGACTTTGAGCAGTCACCAGTCGCCGTGTCAACGAACATGTACAGAACATCAATGATAAATTGATCCGAGCATCATCCCCAGAACCAGATTTTGTTTGCAACCATTTCCACTGCAGCTTGAGAAACAGCTTGGGTCAATCGCTTCCGCTTTTGACCAGATCGAAAATTGGTTGTTGTTGAACTCATGTCTTCAACGCAGATATCTCATAGGCCATCTCAGTCAGCAGCCTAAAAACGCTTGGCAGAGCAACATCTTGAAACTCTCTGGGATGCTGTGGATCCAGAGTGAAGGCGACCACATCCGAAAGAGAAATCAAGCACTGTTCATCGAACAAAGCCATGACGTTCACCCATGTCTTCTCTGAATTCTTGAAGTCTTTCTTCCAAAGCGCCCGCGCACTCTCCATCCAGAAATTTCTACTAAAGAAACTCTGGATCATCACACGGCCACTGGCATCCAACTCTATGGACACGCGGTCAGGGTTCCGGCCCTGCTGGCCACACTTCACATGAGGAAAAGCACACTGCCCTTTGCAGTTCAATAGGCAAGCCAGCAACTGACTCAAGCCCTGGCACGCAGATGAGCGATCCACGTCATGCATGTACTTGTAGTTCGGCCAGTAGGCAATAGCGGCGAACAGCCCCGACGTGCAAATTGTTTTTGTCTGAAGCCAGCTTTCTTGTTTCGAGCTTTCCGCGCCCTTCCCATGCTTGGGGCGCAGCAACTGAAATTCCTCTCCTGGCCACAAGCATTCATGGTATGTTCTGATGTGTTTCTCGTTCTGCTTGTCTGTGTCAAAATATTTGGCAGCCTGCGCACGGGAAGCGCTCCTTCTGAAAATGCACAAGGTGTCAGTCAAGCACCACTCACTCTGTAGTTTCCTGCTGCTGAACACCGTCACTGTCTGTCCCCCAAGCAGGAGCACACACGTCTTGCAGAACTCTCTTTCCCCTCATCTTGGATAGGCAACGCAACGGAATGAGGACCCTCCATCCTAGATTCGCGCGGAAATAGTGGAATCAATGAATCTGGAGTAAGAGCTTAGTTCTGGCCTGAGCTGATGAACATAGACCCGTACTGGAATAAGGAAAAAGCGAAATAAGGAAATAGGGATGTTTGTTATTGCGGCACCTCATTATGGCCAGTGCTGATGTGGAACCAATTATATAACAACATCGAAACACACCCTGTACAGGAATAAGGATATAAGGAAACAGGGAAATAGGAAAATAAAGAATTGGTTCTCCACTTTCATACTGCCTGTTGTTTTCCAACATGATGATGGAAACAACCTCATCTTCATCTGACATCCATCCCCCCTCGCTTTGAGCCATGCCACTGGGTTCAATGCGATGCTTTTCACATCAGAGACACAGCTGAAATGGACACCTCTGAGTCTCCAAGCCTTTGGTTTCCTAAAACAAGAAGGGAGTTAACAGCTCCATGTTTGATACGGCTTGTCCTTGCTTCAATCCAAAATCCCACCGTTTTCTCTAATTGATCACAGGTGTACCTGAAGCGCCAGATTTACACTCTGCAAGGCCTTTGAATGCGCAAGTTGATTGCTGACATAGCTTTCTCTCAAATCTCACACCATCGCCAACTCACAGGAAACACACACAGCTAGTAGGTTGGCATCGCTCTCAGGTTGGAGGACATCACAATTAGGTTACTGTGGCTACCAGGTTGGAGCCGTTGCTAGTAGGTTGGAGGCCATCGCTAGTAGGTTGGAGGCCATCGCTAGTAGGTTGGAGGCCATCGCTCTTAGTTAGTTTCCTCTTGCTCTTGGGTTGGAGGCCATTGCTGTAGTAGCGAATTGCTCTCTATCATCCTCATGGGTCTGGTGCACTGGAGATTCTCAGCAAACAAAGCGTTCTTTATTTCTTCTATTTCTGTTGTTTCTGGGCAATGGAATTAAGGAAATAAGCATTTTCACGTTTTCCAGAAATAAGGTTGCAATTTCCTTGTTTCAGGCTTATTTCCAAATTTGATATGCTTCAACTTAATGCTGTTTTTAGCCGAAATAGACTTGGAATACAAATTTTCACCTCTATTCCCTTATTAATAGTGGCTTAGGGAAACAGGCCTGGAATAGACCCTTATTCCCAGTCTCTTTCTTTATTCCAGCCTTAGTGGAAAAGGGGGGGGGGGGGGTTAGGGGAGGGGAGGTGTAAAAACGTATGAGTGCACTCATCGCAAATCCATGGGTGCCCGCTTCTAAATCTCCGTCGGTTTCTTTATTATCCTGTCAGATTCAGATGCTTATTTTTCCTGCTTGTTTGTCTTCTTCTTGTTGTGCATTCTTCTTCTTCTCCTTCTTCTTGTTCGTTCTTCCTTCTTCTGGTCTTGCGTCTTCCTTTTTTCCTGCTCTTTGTTTGTTTCTTATTTTTCCTGCTTGCTTATCCTGTTATGAAGAATCCTAGCGCCAATCTAGCGCTGCCTTACTGTATCACCATAGTCTGCCAGTCAGCTGCTTATTTTTCCTGCTTGCTTGTCTTCTTCTTGTTGTGCATTATTCTTCTTCTTCTTCTCCTTCTCTGTCTTCTTGTTTGTTCTTCGTTTTTCTGGTCTTGTATCTTCTTTTTTCCTTCTCTCTGCTCTCTGCTTGTTTCTTCTTTTTCCTGCTTGCTTATCCTGATATGAAGAAACCTAGCGCCAATCTAGCGCTGCCTTGCTGTGTCACCATAGTCTGCTGGGCGGCCCGCTTCTAAACGAAGATCTTGCACTTCTATTAGTTTCTTATAAATTAATTCTTACTTATCACTTGCTACTTAATGCATGGACCACATTCATCAACAGAACCTCAGACTCAGACCTCAGATTCTGTGATTCCCTGGGCAGCTCAGCTCAGCCAACTGATTTAGTAAATGCGTTGTCAAGTTGTCTTTTCTCATTTTCTTCTTTGCGCCTTCTCTTTCCTGTTCCTTCTCTTATGTGTCATTATGTTTTTGCATTCTCATTTCATGGAGACAGGAGACATGGAGAATATGCATTTAGCCTCATTACAATCAACTGAACCTGGTCCATATGAGTTTATAGAGAGGTGTGTGTGACCTGCAAAAGTTTGAAGCCTGGTTTCTGCTTTATACACCTGGATACCGTGAACCTGAATTCTGATTTCATGTAGAATGTACAATGTAGTTTGATGTTAATCAGCTGAAACTGGTCCACATTCCCACCTTGTGTTCCGCCATGGCGTTTGCGACCCTAAGTTTAGTACTTCACTAAGATTCCACTGCCTTCATTTCATGAGCATTGTTCATCTTGCTTGGTTCCCGTTCTTTCTGAACCTTTTTGACTCAGTGTGTAAAATGAATTTCACAGACTTCCACCAAACACCTGACTTTGTTTTAAAAGAAACCCTAGTGGCACCCAGGCGTCTGAACACCCTAAAACAGTAATATTTAATTTCATTCGCGAAATTTGTCATACTTCCCCCCTTCTTGCTTAACCCTGTCAAAGGCACACCAAACTTTATCCACTTCTTTTCCACGACTTTTCAATATATATATATATATTCCTCCAGTTTTCTTTTCAAGTTTCTCTCAGGAAAGCCGGTTCAAAATCAAGCACTTACCTTTTCTCACGATGCATGGTTGGATTCGTGGCTGTGCTTGGGCGTATACATTGCCCGAGTGAAACGTATCTTGAACAGCTTCTTGGTTCACTGTTTCTTCACCCGCCGTGTGCACAACCTGCTGGACAAGAGTGTCAACGCAGTGTCAAGTCTCATATCTTGTGAGTGATGCACGGTCATGCCACAGCGACATCCACTCTACATTTACTCCAAAGATGGAATTCGGTGAAACTATTGGGAACCCTTGATCTCAATTGGTTTCACCTCAGCCACAGAAGGGCAAAACAAGTGGAACGCTAGGCGTAACGCTGCTGAGAAAAGCACTCACGCTGATGGCAATGTGAAGCCATAGCAATCTGTCCTTAAAACTGGAGGGAAAAACACAAACTTGAAGTGTGGTCAAAACAGCTGTTTCTCGAAACAAGCGCAACTCAGAGGCGGCAAAAAAACAAAAATACATCAGAAGGTTGTAACATTGACATCAGTTTGAAGCCCTGCATGGTTAAAGGCTGTTCAAAACAAAACACCAAGTGATGGGCTCATCCGTGTCGCGAAGGCTTGCCGACATCTTTTCTTCTCTAATCCAACTTCCATCCTGCAAATCCGCGATGAGCAAACTGGCAAACCACAATGCTGCAAAGGCAAGTTGAGACGGTGGTGTGCAAGGGGTTGGGTGAGGTGTTGGGAAAGAAAACAATTGGACAAATTCACCTGACCAGCGATTGACAAAAGAGTGAAAAGTGAAAAGTGAGCAAAGACATTGCAACGCAAAGCGCTGAGCCGAGTGAACAAAAGCTGAGAAATTGAAGCGAATACAACTAGCAAACGAGTTAGTGGCATAAACAGCGGCTCGTCCTGTTGGCTAAAAATATCAATTTTGGAAGGCGCAATGGATAGTTCCTCCTCCTTCTTGATTGCCTCACGGCAAAACGACAATAACCACCATGCACTTGCACACGCGTTGAACAAAACATGTTCTGGCTTTCATCGCTGCCTGCTTTGTTTGTCTTCTTCATTCAACGTTCACCAAGGCACAGCATCAAGTTTGATTGAACAACAACAAGCTCTGAGCTCTGGACTTTCTTAAGGTCCCTGTTACTACTAGCGTCCTTGTTACTACTAGTAAGGCGCCTGTTACTAGTAGTAAGGCACCTGTTACTACTAGCGTGGCACCTGTTACTACTATGTGAGCGCACGTACGAACGAGCGAACGCGCGCGCAGCTGTTTACGCTCACAAGGACGAGCGGACGCGTCGGCGGGTGAGACAGCACGCTACGCCTAGCTACGTGCCACTTGAGCCAAAAGTATTGGCCTTGAGCCAAGAGTATTGGCTTGAGCCAAAAACGAGGTGAACTATGTACACCTACGCAGCTCCTACAGCTACACATGCAAGTGAAACAGTAAGAACATGAACCATGGCAAGGCTAGCAGACATCACAGTCGCCCCTCAGATGCTTTTGCGCAACGAGTGAAGGCATCTCTCTACCTCGTCTGCCTTCGCCTTGCCACACGGCGCCGCGAAGCGCAGGCACCGCCGCGGTCGGCGGATCAACCTTCCGCCGATTCACCCTGGCTCTGTTTGCCCGTCACGCGCCTCCGCGACGGCTTCGTCTCCTTCTCCGGACGGTCCTCCCCTCCAAGGATCTCGGAGACGGCCCAGAGCCGCTCGAACTGGTCGGTGTGCGCTCGGAAGACTTCATCCTCCCAAGGCCCGCTGACCAGCAACCCGAGCTCCACGTTCGCCCTGCTACTCGTGGTGTAGTTTGAGCTTCCCACGACCAGGAAGCTTGGTGCTCCTTCTGCGCCCCTGCGACAGAAAGTCTTTGAATGCTGGATGCCCTTGAGGCTCTTGCCAACGGACGCGCCACGGCGATCCCCGGCGTAAGCTTCCGCAATCGAAGATCCTGCGGTCAAACGCACTCGGATCCCTGCCCGGGCCACCTGCAACAGAGATTGCCTCTGAAGCTTTGTCCGCTCACCCACGCTCTGGCCTCGATCAACAAGGAGTCTCGTAACTCCAGGGCGCCTGATGAGACTGTCCACCACGTCGGGCTGATCGAACGTGTACGCAGTCATCATCACTTCTCCAGCGCCGGCCAAGATGTTCAAGATCCGATCCTGGCTCGCTGCGTTCACGAGTAGCTCAACATGAGTCTGAAGGGATGGCTCCGGAAGCAGCTCCGGAGTGGAAGCTTTGCTGTCCTCCAAGGGCAGCGGCTCCGGCCGACCCCCTCGACCCTCCTGGCGATGTAAGGATGGCTCTTTCCCCGCGCTGGTCCGCGAAGAGGCGGAACCAGCCGCGAGACGGTCGCGCGTCTCTTTGGAGCCCACGGGCCTTAGCCACAAGCCCCTTGAAGCGTCCACGGCTGTCCTAAAGCTGCCTTCCCGCGCGCACTGGCCACCGAAGGCCTCTCTACCTTTGGAGGTTCCGCCGGCTCAGACGGAAGCGCGAGCCGCTTCAGCTGCTCTTTAGCTGCCTTGATGCGAGGGCACACACCTTCCTCCACATACTGTCTGTCGGCAAGCGGAGCTTGCCCCTTCTTTAGGTTGACTTGGTGGAAAGCTCCTCGCTTGGACTTGACCGCCCACACTGACCCTCCGTCAGTGAGCTCTGTCAACCGGGCTCCGTATTCAGCAGTGTTGCCGTTCCTGCAACGCTGCCACAGATTCATCATCATCGTGGAAACGAACCAGACCGCCACGATCTGGACCCCCATGCCCACGATGTTCAGCGCGCTCCGCGCCTGAGCGCAAGGAAGCACAGGTGGTTGAGCTGCAGCGCCCCATTCCCGTGGAGAGCGTGCAGCCTCCTGTTGCGGGCCTTGTGAGACAAGGCCCACGTGCGCCCGGTCTTCTTGCGCGACCGCTTGCGACAGACCGCGCGAAAGCGGCAAAACGCACGCTTCGCCGCGGAAGGCGTCTTCTTCCTGACCCTGCGCAGCTTTTTGTGCGACTTCTTACGCTTCAAGCCACCCCGCTTGCGCTTGCTACTTCGCACCCCAGCTTCGGCGTGCAAGTCCTCTTCGGTGGCTCCCCCAGCGGCCTCCGCAGGCTCTGGCTGGCTGGGGTCTGGTTGGCGCCTGAGCTCGCCCGAAGCAAATTCATGAGGGCCGTGTCAGCCTTCTCCCAGAGCTCCGCAAGGCTACTCCACGCGACCCTTCGCGTGCTCTCGCTCTCTTCACGTGACCCGGCACACCCGGTACGCCCCTCAGCTCTGCCCAAGCCCCGCTCGGATCGAAACGCGAACTGCGGAAAACACGAACCCAGGACGACGAACTGCAATCGACAACCCCAAAGACTGATCAACCTAGGGAACCTAAGGGACCGTGCCCCAGAGTGAACCAACGCCAGGCACCGCGTCGGGTGGTTGTGATCAGACACCCGCTCATTGTGCTTCGATTCTCCTTTTTCTCAGCTGACGATCCAAGCCCCTTTTGGTTGGACGCCGAGCGCCTCGAGCGCATCTGCGGCAGGTTGTGGAGCGAGAGCCGGGCCAGTCTTCATGGCCTTCTTTATCTCGTCATCGTGCTCAGCATCTGCAGGAACTGCCCGTCGATCACCCTGCCCGTTCGGACCGTGAGATCGTCCACATAGGCGGTCCATTCACGGGCGAACCGCGCCTTTCTGCCGCGGCCCGGGCCAAAGGCTCTGTCAACAACAAAACAGAAATCGTCTGGCCCATTCACAGGACCAAAAGTCAAACAGACTGGCGAGAACTTTCCTGACCGAGCCACGATGGCCAAAACTTCCATGGCCCTCCTCGTGTTCTGGATCTGGTTGAACCCTGTGACAGCATCCACGAAGGAATACCAGATCGATCCGCTGCATTGCGCCAACACGTCTGTAGCCTTCCGGCAGTAATAGGTGCTTAGAAGCACCCTGGCGTTGACTCGTCTGTAGTCAACCACAAGACGCCTTTTCCTATGCTTCTTGTGCGCCGGCGCCTCCTTGGTGGGAAACGGCGGGCTGCCCCAAGCTGAGGAACCCCGAACGAGCTGCCCTCGAGCCACTTCTTCCTCAAGGCGCTCATCCACCCACGCCGCGCTCTCTCCTTTGAGGGAATGCGGTTGGAGGCTAACTGGCGGGCCCGTCGGCACACAGTCATGCGCCACATTCCGCACGGTGGTGCGGGGGCTCCCTTCCAACCAGAAACCAGCGGCCTTTCTGCCTAAGACCTCTTACACGCGGCAAGATCATCCGAGCTCATGCCCGGTCGCCGTTCAGCGGCGTCATCGCCAAAACCCAGGCCTTCGAGCACAGCTTGGCGATACGTCTCCTGTCGGCGCGGGTCTTCCAAGACCGTTTCGCCACTGAGCCGATAGACTTCCAAGTCGGCGTTCACTTCGTCCCATTCGGAGCGGTCAGCGCGACCCTTCCAAAGCGAATCCTTCAAGCTCTTTGTTGAGCGCTTCCCTCTCAGCAGGCGTGAGCTCCCGACTCACGTCTACGTCGGCAGCAGGCAAGGGAACTTCCTTTTCTTCTACGTTGAAAGTAATTTTCCTCTGAACCGGGGCTTAGGATTGAATCAGGGTCTAGACCTGTTGGCTTGAATGCTGGTCTAAGCTGTTGGCTTTATAACAGCTGCTGCATAAATGACTCAGTAACAGAGTGGCTGTTGACTGCGAATTGACTCAGAGCTTAGAGACCTGTTGGCTCAAAGCTTACTATGACTTTAGTTGTTGGCTTGAATAGACGTTCGTCCGCACATATGTCTTACTTAGTTATTAAGCTTCAGATCCTAGGCACTGTCCAGCTTCACTTCCAGTGGCTATTGCGCCGCTGGCCACATTTGGTTACTTGAGCCAGTGAATCAAACACATCACTCGAGCCAAGGGCTGGGGCAGCGTTTATGCGGAGCATTTTAAATGAATACTTTTTTTGCAAATACATAGGTTAGAAAACATATTATGTGTATGTCTATATATCACCAAGCGCAACCGGTCTCCACGCGGAAAAACGTGGCCGGTCATGTGCCAGGCCTCAGACCTAAACACAGCAAAACCCCAAAGAGAACGAGCCAAGGCTCAGACATGCAAATGAAAGCAAACTAAAGGACAGGAATCCTCCAGGAGGCGAGTGTTCTGCTCGCTCCACGAGAGAAAAGACGTGCCAAATGGACAAGGGCACCGTCATCCATGAAAACAGCAGCACCTTGAATCGACCCTGCGGCAAGGTTTTCCCTGCCGCCTTGGCGAGTGCCGCGTTGAGAGTGCCAGGAAAGGCTTGCGCCTCTTCACATTTAGCGAGGAGGCTGATCGCTCTGCGAAGACTGGCATGGATATCAAAGTAAGTGACAAGCTGCGGATCACTCTCGAATTTCCACCCTTGCTGCTGAAACAAAACTGTAAGCTCCGAGATTGAGGTGATGGCTTCAGGATCGAGCTTCCAGCGCAGTGAGCGGAGAAACCCGCATGCACTGTTCCAATCACTTAAACTGCCAGTCCATTTGGATGGCTGTGCACAACCTGTTGGTATTTTCGGTTTCCAAGGAAACTGGCTGACACGAGTGTGCCACGGCCACTGTGGAAACAACCGCTGACAAGCTTCTCTATCAAGGTCAGTCTGCTGAGGGATGTTTGTATCAACATTATAACCAGCGTCTGTCGGAAGCAGTGCATGAAGGCGAGCAAGCCAACGTTGGTGCTGCAAACAGCCTCGATCAGCTTCGTGCTGCAGTTGAACATGCACTGGAGAAAGAGAAGCTGCAAACTCCTTGGCAACAAGGTCTGCTTTGCGGTTCCTTTCGATACGTCGAACCGAAGTGTGGCGTGATTGTGCCATCTGTGCTGAGATAGCTTCAACAGGGAGCTGCTCAAAGCAATGCGCAGGAATCCATTGCACCTCAAATGGATGTGGATGCTGCTGCTTCCGGTGACTAGTGAGGGCAGCCAGAAACCTCCACCAATCTTGGCAGAGC